TCGCCCCCCGCCAGTGATGCGACCTATCACTGCGGTGTCGTCCGCGAACTTCAGGATGATGTTGTCTTTGTGGGAGACGACGCAGTCGTGGGTGAACAGGGTGTAGAGGATGGGACTGAGGACACATCCCTGTGGGGTGCCAGTGTTTGTAACAATGCTGGCTGAGATCCTATTGCCAATCCTGACAGTCTGGGGCCTGCCAGTCAGAAAGTCCAGGAGCCAGTCACAGAGGGTGGGGTGCATCTGTAACCAGCTAGCTGTAATTTATGCTGTTGCTAGGAAACGGGATGGGATGGGAGTCTGAGTCTCACCGGACCCTCTAATGGCTGAAAGGAAAATAGAGCACCTTTAAGAAAGAAACATCAAAATTTACATCATTTCTGCTGTAGTAAAACTGTTGAGGCTGACTCACTCCTGACAGGTCTCTGCTCTGTGATCCTCACAAAGCAGGCATTTTGCACAGCAGTGGCACATCACCAGCTGAAAGAACAGTTATCATATGAGCCTCCTCAATATTTCATGGCCACTGACATTTCATTAGATGTAGAGGAATTTAGAGTCCTGGCAAATGCTTTTCTTCACATCCCAGGTAGCCAGATTAGCTGACAGCCACCTGCGGGAGGGAGGTGCAGGAGCGCCAAACACACAGACACACACAAGGTGCACATGCATGGACGCAGCAGAGGTGGATGGATACCTGTTGGCACACACACAAGCTGGCAAAAGAGGTAACCTTTTATGAGTGCTGTGATGCAAATGTCTCTCCTGCTATGCGTGTGTGTGTGTGTGTGTGTATGCGCGCTCTTAGTGTCTCAGGATTAATCATGTTTTTCTTGGGTTTTGAACCACCTACTTTTCAGCCAGTGATGGAGCTTACTTTCTTAAGGAGCCTCAGACAAAATAGTAGGGGTAAAACAAGATCGCAATATTGAAACGTGATGATATTTCTTGTTGATACAAAAACTGTTTATCGATATCTGTACATAACAGAACCAGAGGGGAGTGTGATGGCAAAAGGGATGTATGTTCACATTACTCTGGTAAAAATACAACTCCCTGCTGTGTTTTAAGACGTGGAGCTGCTTTGGTCGGGGCTGGGGGGTTGCAGGGAGAGTGTTGTAGGAGTGTATGATCCGGTCACACGACTCGACGTGAGTGGCTTTACTCCCGTTTCCAGCCCGTGAGTTTCCATTGTGTTTTGGTTAGCCATGCTGCTAACGTAACCTGTTCTACCTCAGCACCAGTTCTACCACCAGCGTGTCTGCATTGACAGATAAAAGCACAGTTTAACATCCTGTACTAATGAAAATGGACGGCGTGTTGTTATGGTGCGTTAACCGTGGCCAAAATTTGACAGTGAATAGCAGCAAATTTTTTTGCTAACATGGTAAACAAAAGAGTCTTATTCCTGTGGGCGTCCACGTCCCCAATTGTCCCTTGTATGTGATTGGTCAATGCAGCACCTTTGCTGGATGATGTCACCATCCGGTGCGGTGAGGGTGAAAATGGCATAGAAGGTCACACAGCTTCAGTAAGAAGTTAGAGGCTCGTGCATAGTTCATGCACAGTTGTAAGGTCTTAAGAGACTGATGTGAAATCACACAGGAGAGAAGCCGTCAGTTGAGTCTGTGGCAAAACCTTTTACAGTGCTATTGTTGTCTTTTACTGCATATGATAATTCACACTCGGGAAGTAGAAGTGAAGTGACATTCATTACAAGATGATGAGTAAAACATTTCAAAATACACCTTCAGTGTTTGGCATTTTGAACCCAGTATCGTGTATCGTCTCGTCTCGTGAGCTAAGTGTATCGTCACACCCCTAGTAAATAGTGGATTTTTATCCCTGTTGTCATGTAGTGTCATCTGCCACCATGGTACAGTAGTTTTGGGACAATATGTCTCCACATCAGTGTCTGCCTCTGGTGATCTCCTAATAACTTGCACATAAATTAATCTCATTATATTTTGGAGCATTTTACTGCATAAATTGAAAGATTAATGAGGATTATTTGTATGGATACCTCTGTAATAAATGGAGCTACCTGCCAAATACACACAAAGGTAGTGACAGAAATATTTGCAAATGAATACAGCTTCTTGTGTGGCTTTTTTAATAAACACACACTCTGTCTGAGGTGGCAAACAGGAGACCTTTACCAGAAATTTAGATTCTCTTAAAATGTTTAATTCGACCCAGGGCCTTTCTGACTCTCACAGTTGAAGGAGACAAAGCAACAGCTGGCTAACCAGAAAGCCAAGATTAACTCCTTTATCATCAAGGAAAAAGAAACCACAAAGGAGCTTGAGAGGCTGAGGCAGTACAGTAATGCAGAAGCTCTCAGTGCTTCAAACATTGCCATTCAGTTTGGCAATGATAAGAAAAAAGAAAAATCTGATGAAGAAAAAAAATCTTCAGGAAGATTACGAGGAGCTGCAAGTAGCACACACGATAACCCAGTTGAGGTTTACGGCCACTTTCTGGGGCTGAGGAAACCGCAGAAGTGGAAGAAAAA